GACATTTATGTTACAAAAGATTTCTATTTCAAATAAATGCTGTTTATAACTTTATAACAAGATCTTGAAAGAAATGTGTCAGAATTTTCACTGTTTTGAAATATTGATAAGACTATATAGAAATTACCATTTTTCTTGAGCAGCAAATTAGCATATTAGAATGATTTCTGAAGTCAGTTTTGATATCACAGAAAAAAAAAATTAAAATAGAAAGTTCTTTTATATCATAATAATACAAAAAAAAATCCAGAATATTGCTGTTTTTACTGTATTTTTGATCAAATAAAATCAGCACTGGTGAGCCTAAGAGACTTCTTAAAAATATTACCTACCGCAAACTTTTGAACAGTTTTAATACTAATATATTTGTTTATAATATAAAATTAGGAATGACTATTTTAACATTTTACAATTCGTGCTAAAACACGAATGAATTTGACATCTATGCTTTAAATGAATACATACATATTTGTAATAATATAATGATTCTATTATACATACAATTAGAATTATTTTCTAATAATTTTATAATGTTCTATGCAATATAATAATTGTAATATGTTCATATTACCCCGTGAAAGGCACAGTTCCGTCACTGTTAATTGGTTGTTCAGGAACACATTGCATAAAGTCAAATGTCATAACTGGCCATGGTTTGGTCAGAGCACGACATGGGTATTCCCATAGTGGATGTGGCTCTGCCTCTCAGGATTCACGGTAATCCAAAGATTGCTGTGGGTGGAGTTCATCACAAAAGCATATTAATCAACTGCATTCAAATTTCACGCAATCTACTTATTCAAAACACGTGTTCAGACCTAAACCTGTAACCAATACTCACCTGAATCATCTCATCCATTGGACTGACATCAAAGCCTTCGCAAGTACCACAAGGAGCTCGGATTCGCCACAGATCCTGATTCAAAATTCAGAAATGTTTAATACAGAAGTCAGCTAGTCTATAAATGTATACTACAAAATGCATATCCGACAAGTATCCAAAAAAATTATTTACCCGAAATTCAACAGCGACTATGTAAAGTGTGGCAGCATGGGGCAGGATGGTGGCATTGGGATGGAGCAGCTGCGCCACAGCGGTGCGGCAGTACCAGAAAAACAGAGAGTGCCACGGCAGAAGACTGGTGCTGAAATATGGCTCTCCCATCAACACTGAAATCTGAAGAGTTTCATTTCTTATTGATAACATTTCGAATGATCATCAACGTTGAAAACAGTTGTGCTGCTTAATATTCTTGTGGAAACTGATACATTTTTCAGAATTATTTGATTATTAGAAAGTTCAAAACAACAGCATTTATTTGAAATAGAAATACTTATTAACATTATAAATGTTTTTACTGTCCCTTTACACCATCTTAATGCATCCTTTGCATTAATAAAACTTAAAAAGAAAAATCTTACTGACCCCAAACTTTTGAATGGTAATGTACCTTAATACATCCTTGCCGAATAAAAGTTA